ATCCTCCAAGAACGTCAAACTGCCGCATCGCGGGCTGCTTGACGCTCGCTCTCTTCGTCCGTTTCCTGCGAAGGCCGAGCAGGCTATGAGCCCTGATATTCCCTGGTTCTCACAGTGGAAGAAAACACACAAAAAGTAAGCCTCCTAAACAGGCAAATAAAGTGAAAACTTCCAAGGAAAGCCGGCGAACTCCGAATGCACAATGCAGCTGGGGAGTCACGCTGACCGGGTTTCCACAGCTCAGGCAGGTGGGAGAAATTCTGGCCGATAGGGGTCGCTCGGTTCGCTAAATGGCGGCGGCCAGAGAGCTCTTTTTGCAAAGGTCTATAGCTGAACCTATTTATGGTAAAGATGTTAAACTTTTCAAGAATGATCTATGTATAGCCTATGTAAGTGTCGTCTTAAGATATGATTATTATTATTCAGGATGAGTTTAGAAGAAATGTCCAAACAGGTATCTACGGGCAATTATGCCCTAAACTTGGTCATTTGTTTCGTCTGAATTGTTTGAGTTATTGCATTTAAATTAACACCACAGACAGTACATATTGCCATCTGCAGAATACAAAATAATGTTTTTTTTTTGTTTTTTTTTTGTGTTGAGAAATAAATTAACTCATAAGGGAATGTTTCTAATATGGTTCAAGCTAAGCACATCATTAAAAAAAGCCATTTTTAATTTTCTTTTCTCGTTTCATTTTCTTGGGACTTGTTTCTTTTAGCCTGTACACATTTTGGTAGGAGAAACTTGTTTTGAAGTTCTGAGCCTCTGAATATGCAAGAATACAACACTTCCGGAGGGCTCTTGGTAGTTCTTTTTTTTTCTCTCCAGCTTTTCATTACCGCATTTATTGTTATGTTTAATTTTTTTTCTTACCAATGGCACAGTTATTTAGGTTGAAAAGACCTTTGAACTTCTGAACCACTAAGCATATGGCGAGTAGTGCCTTCTGACGAGTTATAAACGATGACCATCTACGCTATCTTTTATGCAGCGAAGAGCGACAGTAGCTATACATATGTATAAATAATTTCAGTTTAAAATAAGCTCGACCACGCCGCCAGTTTTTCCTGTTCCGACGCCACTGGTATGGTAGAACGCTCCTTGACCTCAAGTTGTGTCGGTTTCTGTGCTTTTTGTCCGGCGTTTCTTCCGTCCCGGAAAATAAACCTCCAGAGCAATTACAAACTAAACTTACTACATGCCAGCGTCGCTCGGGCGGCGGTCAATCGGATTACTACCAGCGTGCAAGGGGGTAGGGAGCCAGTTTGCCAGATTGCTTCAAGGTTTTTCTGAGCCTCAACCACACTGCCCGTTCCTGGCCGTTTCGAACCGCATGAGTATCGTAAGAGTGTGTGTTTGTGTGATCACTGCTGCATGATGCACGTTAAAGGAATGGTGAACCAAAAGATAACGATGCAGGAGCAGTAGGCAGGACGCTACAATCCCTACAACACTACTCGTAATGCGATATTTCGAATGGATGGCCGTATTTTTTGGAAAGAAAGGTCGAGATTGAACGAGGCCGACAAGGCGTGTGACGTCAACATATTTTGTTTCCTCCTCTCTTCACTTCGCCTTCTCAAGGTGGTGAGGCGGAGAAGACTCGAGGCCGTTCCCTCCCCTTCTCGGAAAAACAAGACGTGAACATATCTGTCAAATGCGCCTCCTTTTTTTTTAGAGAATACGGTCATCCGTTTGAGATATTGCTGTATGAGTGATGTTTTGGTGTTTGTAGCATCCCGTTGCACGCTTTTGCCGCTGTGTTTTGTGGAATCCAGATTTTGGTTTATGGTCACACGTCACTCTGCACTGGCAAATATTCCAGCACATCCGGGGCACTCGTCGTCTCATTTAATTGCCTGACCAAGTTTGCGCACTGTCAATGTCACACCCAATCTTTTGTAAACCTGATTTCATGAAAACCAGTGAGGCTTGAAAACGTTATTTGAAATTGAAACTGTGGAGGAACGTGAAAACCGGACTTTGAATTTTGCGCACTTCCAAAATCTTGGAAGCTTTTTTTTTTTTTTTTTTTTTTTTTTTATTATTTAGTTTTAAAAGAGAATCGAAGTCTTTGAATTTTTCGAACTTCAGATCACAGGAAATTCGAAATTTTCGAATCTCTCGAAATTCAATTAAAGGAAGTTCGAAATCTTCGATTTTTTCGAACCTCAAGAAAAAAAATATTCGAAATAATCGAACCCGAACCTTTAGAAACCGTAAAAGCTTCAAACTTTTCGAAGCTCCACGGTGTTTGAAAGTTGCAAACTTTTCGAATTCAAACCTCGCTACGGTCGAAAATATAGAAATCTTTCGAATTCAAACCTCAGTTCGGCTCGAAAATATCGACACCTTTTGAATTCAAACCTAGGGTGGTTCGCGACATCCCTAATTTCCGCTCTGTGTAAAAGCACCTCGAACATGAATTTTCTGAGGTCAGTCTTGCCCCCTTCACAGTGTAGCTGTGATGAGGTATACTGAAATGTTTTGGCCAGAAATGCTTCGCACACCTGACTGAAAACTCTGCATGCTGTACCAGTAAGATGAATTCAAGTTTGTGCCCAAGTGTGGTGTCCAAGCTTGATATGCTCGGGGACATTTAGAACGGAATTCCTGGCAGCAGACTAAACTCGACTCCACAGAGATTCCTGTCGGGGTATGACAAAAGATTCCTACTGTCAGAGCTGAAATGAAAGCAAGACAGATTAGGAGTGGCATTCAGTTGAAATTGTTTTTGGATATTAACTATTGCCTGTTAGACAAAACCAAACAGCTGAGACTTTTCAGATTATTGCTCCCACTTAGGTTGTGGTGAGCTGTGGCTGAATGTGCATAGAAATTTTGTCAAGTCGTTGCTCAGTCGAGAGAGATGCCAGCTTCAGATACTCGCTTGTTAGCATTACGGTAATTCTGCATTAATTTTCGGAGCATCATTCCTCAACATCCCAAAGTAAAGGCTGACACATCCCAAATGGGTAAGAACTTGAAAATATTATTTTACTTGTCTCTTTACAAATTAGTAAAGTTATGTTAGCACTTCAAATGAAACCACCATACCAGTGAGTGTTATAGGACAGCACTGCTAACATAACTTCACTAATTTGTGGAGAGACAAGTAAAGTATATTTTCAAGTTCTTGTTCATTTGGGATGTGTCAGCCTTTACTTCGGGATGTTGAGGGATGTTTAAATTTTCTTGTTACTGCATTTCTTTGCCACTTCATTGCCCGGGTAAGCATTTCATTCTGGCAAAAGATTTTATCCTCGTGATATGTGACTAGGTTGCTTATAATCTGCATGAGCATACAATGTAAGTTTGTTTAGCACTTCGAAGCAACATCCTAATTCAGTGTTCATATGTGCCATTTCGATTTAATGTTTCTTTTCAACATTCTAACTGTGTGTTTCTATGCAACCTTGCCTGAATGCAACACTTAAATTTAAAACATCCTAATTGAATGTTTTTATGCCATCTTTCTTATCAAGTCCCACTTAACCGAGCACTCAATATATTTCCACGAGCCCAAGCGAAAGTAAATGTCTTTTGGTCTAAATCTGCTAAAATTGCTGAGCTATCACCATAGCAACAGACTATATAGTGCTGTTATTGTTATACTATGGGTATTAGTGCTGTCAGTCTGAAGATGCTGTAGCTAAAAGAGTGAGGGTGTAGGTAAGGCAATATACTGGACATTATTAGAAAACTTGACATTGTCAAGTACATACTATAGATGCTTTACAGCAGCTGTGCATGGGCGCTGCCATAACCGACCATCAGTTTTTGTTTCCTCTTATCTTTATCACTTGCCTCCATCCCTACCACAGCAGGGCAGGTTATTGCCATTTCAGATTCGACTGTGTTCTTCTCCCCGGCGTTTTCCTTTGTGGAGGCTCGCCAAAGCTTGGTATCTCGGTAAGAGAGGAGAAGGTCGGCAATGGCGGCTGTAATTTGGCGCGTGTGTAAACAGTCTATAAGCACAGAAGTCTCAAATGCAGCCTGCTTGAAACAAGAACAAATAATTTGTCTGACCTTGTTTACTTCCCCATAACAGCTTCACTAGCAATGTCTTAATGGCTTGTTGGTCACTTTTGGGAAATGATATTGTGAAAAGTACTTAATAGCAAACTGAAAAGGGAGGAGTGGATGTCATACTTCAAATAAGAGGTAAATTAGGTACATTGGGCTAAATGAGCTACCAGTAAACTACATTTGTAAATGTAAAATTGCCTCCTGCTTTTTTTTATTTTTCACAAAGTGGATTGATTACATGACTGACTCAGTCATGGTTCATTTTAGTGGTGTGAAAATTGTCTGATTATCTATAATCTAAAATAACTTTGGAAATTTGGAATGAGCCTCTACTAGTGGTGGTGTTGTCATGTAAATTTTGGTAAGTGGTACCTAGGAACTACTTGCATGATCAAACCTCTGAAGTGTGGGGTAAAAGAACTGTGAAAACTTAAAGTAAACGAAAAAAAAACAACTTGCAAATGGGAACATTTTGAATTCCGCTAAACTGAGTTTGAGACTGCTCACCTGCACACTTGGCCTTTCATAAAACACTAGTGTGTGGTGACTGTAGATGGATACAACTGAAAAAGATATTGACAAGGAATAGAAACTGGATGTGATAATGTTTGCCTTAACTGTAGGTTTTATTCCATCGTGGGGTTTTCCTAAATATAAAATTGAATAGGAGAATTCGTCCTCCATCAATGGAAACCCAGCTTTGACATGCTGTTTATTTGTCAATTGTTCACTACCATTTCACTGGGTGCCAGATAATTCCTAGGTCTTAATCCTGGGGTATGCACACGTGCAGCAAATTTTTATTTCGCCACACATGCTTCCCAGGGAGCATTTCCTGCTCTTAACACTCGTAATTATTGTTGACCATTGCGAGCCATTAACTAATTCACGGTCCTCTGGACCTCACATTGTAACTGGTGCACCTTAGGGGCCAGCTTATGTGACCTCTGAATTTTATTTTGGACAGGTCACGGAAGGACCACTCGCTCTTCCTGGTAAAGATGCCGCCTAGGGAAGCTCTGCAGAAGTCCTTCGACGAGCTGGACATCTTCAACGAGCGCTCCAGATACAACATTGTCTCCGTGAGTGTCACCCTCAGCCGATGCAGTTCTTTTCACTAAGTCCCGTCGGTATGGCCTTGTCTGCCTTTAACTAGCTCCTGGAATGCTTCACTGACTAGGTGGTTTGCAGCGTCTTCGTTTCCACTCCTTCGATGTTCGGCTGATGACCTTGCAGCTGTGTCTTGCTGTTGCGTACCATGGTCCCGGTGGCCGCACAGCGGCGGAAGTGGATTTGGCAGACGCTTGTTCTGCTATAGCTCGTTCTGCAGCCATAGAGCCGATGGAAATCAACTGTCGGTCGGTGAAAACCCAGACCTCCCTCTCTCTCTTTTCCAACCGTTTAGTACAGAGAAATAGGGGCAACGAACTAGGCCAGGAACCGCATATTTGTAGAATAATCTAGTAGGCACGGAGTCATTTCACGGTCAGATTGTGTGTGTGGCGGCATTCCAGGAAAAACGATGCAATGCCTTTACTCCTTCCCTTCCCCAAGAAGAGGTGCATGGATGTTGCAGTCCTTTATGCATTCACAAGTACTTGCCCCTTGTCACATTGCACATCATTTAGATAGCAGGTGCTGCTTGTTAGGAACCCCAGGGGCTGTTGCACCGCACTTTCCTTGCCTCTGACAGAAAGTCTAATCCAGGCGATTTTTAACGGAGAATGTAGTATTTTATCGGCTTATTTTCATGCAGATCTGTGGCGTTTTATTGTAACGGCCTGTTGTAACATAAAACTGACACAGAGAGGTGTCATGCCCATAGGGTACTATATGAAAACACTTCAGTCTCTGGCAGGATTTGAACTCGCTAGCTTGAGATTGTGAGCCGAGTGCTTTACCGACTGAGCTATCCAGGGTTGGTGGTTGCTAGCACGCAAAAACAAACTCATTGGCACGAAGGCGCGGTCACGTGCCTCTCTGCCTTTCGTGTCGTGCTGCGCCATCTCGCAGCATGTCTCAGAAACGGGAGCGAATCTTTGGTAGGAGGGGCCGTTCGGACACCCTTCTCTTCTTCCACCGTGGACGTGGCTCCTACGAAGCAGATGGCCACAAAACCTGCGCGAGCTTATCGGGAACGTAAGGCATGGTGGCAGCATCAGGAGGAGGCTTTACCGGGGGCCCTGCGGACAGACTCCAATAAGTAGAAGGCCTATCGCACGTTCCATGCTTACCAGTCCTCATCGGCGTCACGAAGCTTGTATAATTTTTTCCATTTACTAAACTAGTGATTCCATTGTTACTTATTTGTGTGTTGCTTGTTTATGTTATTCGTATGAATCTTAGTTATACGATGCATTGTTTGTCCTTGTTAGCCCTTCAAGTGCCAGAATTGCTTTCCCCCGTACGCCGAAAGTAAACTTTTGTCTCGGTAACGCTGCTTCTGAACTATATTTATTTGTAAAATACTAACTATTTTATGGGCACAAAGTTGAATGATGCCTCCATACTTTCAACCCACGAAATATTTCTTGCATTGTACTTTTTGAGATGTGGTACTGTGCAGTGGTACCTCGACCTCCCACCAAGTGGGCACCCTCTTGAGCCACCTCGCTCGGCCTTTGTTTATTCGAAAGTGAAACTTCCTCATTTTGACAATCGCTGAATACCGAGTTCATTGGTAATTTCTAGATCTCAGTATCCGCCACTAAGCGCGAGGTCGAACGATCTTATATTTCCTGCTCTGTAGCAGCAAAGAAGAATACCAAAACACAAGTTGCCCAAACAAAAAAAAAAATAACATGCATGCCAACGAAAAGTGACGCCGCAAGATAAGAAATTGAACTGATCGCTTGCTTGCATGTGCCGCTAGACATAAAAATAAAGGGCAGCCCACTTGGGAGGGGCGGGGAGCAGACCGAAACCGCGCAAGACGCATCCACCGAGGATACTCGAGCGTGGCACTCAGAAGCATTGACGATTTCATTGTCATCTATTGTTGAGTTAGTTGTCCCTCTAATTGATTTGATAGCTGGTAATTGATTGTCCGTGTAAACTGATGCCTCGACGGTTTGACCGCAGCGCTTCCTGGAGAGCCCATACGTGACGACGATGGACAGCTTTGCCAAGATGACGCAGTATGTGACCGGGGTGTCTGGGCCATCCCAGAACTACCACCTGTACAGCAGCGATGCGGAGGACTTCCAGCAGCCGGACAGCTTCACGGAACTCGAGATCAGCGAGCACGGTGGAGAGCCCGGCTTCGAGGTCGTTGTCAGGGTCGGTGCCTCTTGCAGATCCTCGTTCGGCGTTCGGGAACACTGGTCTTGGAGTTTTCTTCCTTGTTATTTGTTTTTAACCAAACCTAGCACACGCGTGTCCAGACTTTTTTTTGCCCCGTTTTCAAATATTGGATGTTTTGCTTACTTAGCAGTAGATTAGTTTGCCGGATAATCATAGTTCATCTGCTTTTGTTTGAGAAACAATAGTGAAAAATCTATTTTTAAAAGATTGTGCATGTGGCCAGATGCTATAACATATGAAGAATGCAGTGTTGGAAGCTCTTTCTAGAGTGGCCATTATTAGTGACTCTACAGCACATTGAAATTCAGTGTTCAATGTGTGGCTAAAGAGCAACAAACAATAGTTTGGTTGAAAATTTTTCTACTTATACTTCTATTGAAAAATATGTTTTCAACATTCTATGTTTTGCACATTTAGCTAGATGTTGTTAAAGAAAAGTTATTCTGTCTGCCCTAGATGCTAAGATATCCCCCCTGAAAATTTGCAGAAGAGTCCAAATACTAGTGTGTTTTGAGAAAGTGTTGTTTTAGCATCAACCTCAATGCAATATCAGCTTGCATAGATATTTTAGTGATATTATGACTCAAATATTATCCTTCAAAATAAGAAACATGGCAGGTCAGAATGAAAATAGCTCCTGATTTCAAGATCATTATTAAAAAAAAAAAAAAGTCTTTTAAGGTTTTTTTGTTTCCAAAAACTGATACGGTCCCTTAAAGTTTGGCATGCATGACTAGTCTCGAATGTTTTAGTTTTAGAGTACATGCTTTTTTTTTTGGAGAAGTAGAACTTTGAGGGGGCATTGCACACGTTGGCCAATTCTCTAATGCAGGGGTTTTCTAAATTTTCCTTCCTCAAGGGTCCCCCATCCAACTCGACTGAATGCTGAGGAATCCCCTGCCGTAAAACATGATGTAAAACAATAGAGCAATACAGAAGCCTATGGGCCTTGTACACAATAGGAGGCATAGTTTGGCTGATACACTCCGTGCGACGCGACTGTTGCGCCGCCGCGCGGCCGTTACCGAAGGTAGGCAGTGAGAACCCCAGAGAAAACGGAACCGAAACCATCCCAGATATGTTGGTACGCATTGAAGTCGGAGCGGTGCGTTTGCGCCGGGTTCACAGCATGAAGTGCTGCCGGTGCTGCGTCGTTAAGTACTTCAATAGTTATGCGTCGTATATCCTGGGGACAAAGCTTCACAGTTTTTCACCTCGCCAATGTTTTGTGGGACAGCGACAACGATGGACCCGTGCCGTACTACGCGAGAAATTTAGTCTCTCGATCATATCTGCCACCGTGTTGGCACGGCTGACATATTCTACACTGCCGTGTTGCGCTCTGCGTTTGTTTTCGTACCAGTGACGCCTACATGTGTTGTACCCGTGCCACATGGGCAACTCGAATGCCTTTTACAACGAATGACATTTGTGTGATCGGCGAATCATCTCGCAATCTGTCGCGCGTGGAATGCGCTACGCCCGGAGTGTCGCGCGCTGATTGGCCGTCCGCTCAAATGTCATTCGTTTTAAATGGCATTCGAGTTGGCCGTGTGGCACGGGTATCAGCGCCGATGGGACGAACTGAAATGCCATCCCACACTCGCGGGTATGCAGTGCCAATTTCGTTGGAGAAATGCCCTCCAAAGAAGTTTCGTCCCCATCGTACATGTCGATGATATTTCCGGACAAGTATGGCACGCAATCTGTACTTCATGTAGAAAGATTCGAACGGTAAAAAAAAGTGACAAATATGAATCTAAGGAAAACTACAATGAAACTCGGAATCACTGGAGAATCGACGATTGAGTATGGAAGTTTATGTGCTGTGCTTTCTTTTTTGATCAGCCTCCTTTCGGATGTGGAAACGCTGACACCCCGAGTTCTGTACACAAAAGTTTTTTTTTCTCGGCTTTAGAGCCACCTATCAGAAAGTGTTTCGAAGTGGGAGTACCTTCCACTGGTCCCTTCCTACCTGTAAAGAGTGCAGCTCCCACGATGAGTGGTATTACCTTGACAGCCTTTGACGTACAAAACTGGTTCCCATTTAGTTACGCCGCTCAAACTAAATTTCCACTTGGTTTTGGTATGCCACCTCTTTTTGGTATAATAAGTGTTGTGTCAAGTTACAGTCATGTCAAAGTACCTGTGTGCCGAAAATCAGCACCTCGCGCAACAGAACTTATTGCACAACAGCTGACCGCAAAAGCCTTTGGCGGCCAAACCATGTGTTGGCCGACAACTTTGTTTTCTCGGCTTTAGAACCCCCTTTCGTAAAGTTGTTTCAATTGGGAGTACAGTCCACTAGTCCCTTCCTACCTGTAAAGTCTCCACCTCCCACGACGAGTGTTACCAATGAGTTACGCCGCCCAAACCAAATTTCCACTTGGTTTCCCTATGCCACCTTTTTTTGGTATAATAAGTGCTGTATCATGTTACTATCAAGTCCAAGCACCTGTGTGCCCAAATCTGCACTTCGCAGAGCCCGGTTATAAGTTATAACACAGCATTTTGGGTCCAATATTGGATATCCCGTAGAGCTGTATTTCTTTATTCGTTGGAAACATAACTTGCACACCTGCTGACCTAATGAAACTTGGCCTGTTTCGTGCACAAACTTAGTGAACATATCACTCGCCTCCAAATATCATCGTTCCAGCAGTCCCGTTTACTGCGACGAGCGGAACAAATGTCTTACTCAGAGCAATTATGGTGGCGGCCCTCTTGCTTTTCGGAAAATCGCTCCAACCCCTTTTTCGGCTGCCCCCCAACTAGAGAAATTACTCTTAATAATGACTCAAACTCAATATATAAGAAGTGGAGAACAGCTAGATGCCCTTCTTAGGTCTGCCCCAGCACTCATGCAACGCCACCCTCAACTTATCGGCTCAAAAAGCAAAAAGTTTTGTCCGTACGCGCTTCCGCCGCCACAGCTTCGCATGCGAAAAGGCGCCGCAGGCTGCTGAACGCGCCTCACTGTCGAACGCCAGCTCCTCCGCTAGCGGCGCTAAGCGCGTTTTTCAAAGCGCCCCCTATAGTTCCCGCACGGAGCGTATAGTTATGCATCAATGGATGGCTTGAATCTGCTAAAAAAAGATAAAAGATGAAGATGAAATCAGTGCTGTTGCTAAGCTGATTCTCGGCAAAATGCGTTGGCATTTAGCGCGGGGTTTCCGACTTGGTAAAGAATGGGAGTTCCAACCTTTCAACAATTTGCACACTGTTGTATTGGAGAGCCAGTCTGTTCTTTCGGTTGTCGGCGGTTTAGGATGCAGCCGCCACTGCTTCCCCCGATCGCCGCCTACTGTCCGCAACTGTTCGCTCTGCATTTGCAAAATGTAGATCTTGCACCTCTGAACCCCTGAACATGGTCCGGGAACCCAGTTTGAAAGCCCACACTAAAATCAGCCTATCAGCATGTCATACTAACTTCTACTTGCCCCATTCTTGCCCACTGGCTTGGGGCTTTGCTACGACTATTGCGCCAATGATTACGTTGATTTGAGTGGCCTAAAAGTGTCGCTTTACATTAAAACTTGGGTCACAATTACCTGCGATGTATGTGCTTGAGAGAAAGCTGTCTGGAAGCCTCATGTGTGGCAGCCAATTCTTCGCTAAGACACTTAACCCGACAGAAGATTAATAAGCTCAACTTTGACTTCATACCGGTTTTAACTTCGAAGTGTGACTCTTGGGCACACAGGAAGAGCAGTTCTTGTGTATCTGCTGATGTGATGCCGCCAGTAGACTGAGGCACTCGCGAGTCATCCCCACTGGACCTCATGGATTGCGGCACTCTGCCGTCTGTTTCTCTGGTTGCAGACTCTTCCGAAGAGGCCCGATGTGAAGCGCAGCGACCCCTTGGGCCATATTGAGTGGGCCCTGTCCTACGACAACGAAGGGCGGGTGATGCACGAGCAGGAGCTTAGGGAGCGCATCTTCAGAGGGGTGAGGCCCATCTGCACTCCGCCAGGAAACGGCTTAATCACTTGGAACTGGGGTGTCCAAACACTTTTGGCTAAGGGCCCGAATTAGGCATTTGTTCGCAGTCTCGAGGGCCCGGAAGGAAAAAGAATCATTATAAACGAGGATTATAAACAACACATCTTGCACCAGTAGCAGCGGGTCTACTGGAAGCGGGCCGAGGGCTGGGCTTCTTTGGAAGGACCGCGGCCCACCACATGCCGGTCGAAAGACTTCTGCGGGCCGGGCTTTGGAAACCTCTACCTTAAAGGGACTCGGAATTCTCCAAAAAAAGCATTTTTTAAGTGTGTAGATAGGCCTCATAAGCCACAAAATTACCTTTCCTCGAAAAATTGTTCTAGCACGATAGCTGCGGTGCGAGATTTGCGTTTGTGCGACTCCAAAACATCTTTCTATATCTAAGTAGACGGCTCGAAATAGCAGCTTGTTTTGGAATTGTTCAAAACTCGAAACATGTCTTGCAATGTAAATACTGCACTCTTTCTTTTTTTTTTTTGGGGGGGGGGGGGTAGAAGGAAGAGGAGGAGGAGGAGGAGGAGGAGGAGGAGGAGGAGGAGGAGGAGGAGGAGAGGAGGAGGAGGAGGAGGAGGAGGAGGAGGAGGAGTTTCCTTCGTTGCATTTGCGTCCTGTCCACACGCTTAAAAAGATTTTTTGAAGCTTCAGAATCTCTTTAAGTCACCCCTTTGCTGTTGGCAATTGATTGATTAATTGACTGCTTGGCTGGCTACTGACCAGTTGGTTGATCGATTAACTTGCTGACTGAAAATCAATTGGTTGACAGATTGACTGGCTGACTAATGTGCTTGCCAGCCGGCTACCAACCTAATTGTAACAAGCGGATAAGTTACAAGTCAGGCGAAACAGAGGAACAAGAGCATGCGACTCATTCTTTCATTGTATGTAGGTTCTTGGCATAAATACCTACTGACACATTGCTTACTTGATTGAGTACATAATCTGGTGTCCATTGACATATAACTGACTGGTTTATTGACTGATTAACTTACCACCCAATATGCTGACCAATGAACTGATTGAGTTGTTAAGGGAGGACACTACTACCCAGGACGGCAAACATTTTAACTGTTAGCCTAATTTGTATGAAAATTACAGGGCATATTTGTAGCTAAGAAAGAGGATGACGTGCAAAGTTTAATGTTTATATGTGTATCCTTCAGAGTTATGTAAAAGTGCATCAAATGAACTTGTATAGAAAAGGTGATTATAATGACCAGTTCTTTTGGTGAAACATAGCATAATAATTGTGACATGTGGTTATGAAAATAAATTAAAAAAATTATAACATTTTTCATACGAAATAAAAATGTTAATTTTTTTTTTTTTTGTATTCATTCGGTTCAAGGTATTGCAGCTTTTGATAAAAAAAGACCATGAAAATGCAGAAGGTAAGCTCGTGGCCAAGTTCCTTACAAGATTTTACATCAATTCATTATGTGAGATAACCGAGCTTGAAAGTTAAGAAAGCTGTACTTCAGATGGTGCCAGCATGTCGGAAATAATTTATTCCGAAAAAAATGCTTCGGTTACAGGTGTGAAACTTTTTGATGGCTGATAAAACCACTCGTTATAAATGTGACTTTTAAAAAAGAATGGCAATTTTAAACGGTTCTTCTTAACAACCGTTTGATTGAGTTGATAACCATTTGATTGATTGGTTTATTTGCTAATGACCCCTCGATTGTTCATAGGGTTATAAATGAAAAGCTGTGGGGCCGCCAGCTTGACCTTGACAGGTTGTGTATCCCTGGCCTAGCAATTACCAGTTGTACAATACACTTTTGTTAGTTCGACCTCGGTTAATTTGACTTTTCATTTAATTTGATTGTGTTCAAAAGTCCCGGCGAGCTCCCATACATTTCTATGGGAGAAAAAGTTTGATAGTTCGAACACGGGAAGACTCCGCATCGGATAATTCTTCCTGAGCGAATGCGCGCGGGCTCTCATTGCACGGCACCACAGCAGAAAAAACCACCAACGTATGGTGAAACACGGGCCCTTTGCTGCAAAGCCAAACGTGCGCAAATACGTGTCTGCTCCTCTGCGCCACTGAGATGGACTGTAGTGAATAACGCGAGACAGCGCAACCAATCTGGCGTGGAGTAGCGCGGAGAACATAGCACGGGGTCGGACGCGGAGACAGCGCGCGCTCTCGAAGCGCTTTTCTGTAACATCAATTGTGGTCCATCTTGCGCGCCGGAAAGCGAAGGTTCTCTTTTCCTTTTTTTTTTTGTTTGTTTTTCTCTGTCGCCGACGGGCTGGCTGCCCGGTGCCAAAGTTTGCTCGTAAAACTTTTTTTTCATTTTTTTTTTTTTGTGATTTTTTTTAGGACGTGGCGTTTAGTTCCGCTGCTCTCTGAAGCGTGCTTTTGGACACGTGTTTTAAGCGCAGACGGCAACAGACCATTTGTGAGTACTTTGGACAATAAAAGGAAGTTTAATTTTAATCGTTTTGCTGTCCTTTTTTTTAATTCAGTCAGTCGGATAATTTGACCAAATTTCAAAATCCTGTCGAGGTCGAATTAAAGAATGTTTACTGTATACGTATCCACTGTTGTGTGTTTTGTTTTGGCCGGTCCAGGGAGTGGAGCCTGAACTGAGGAAAGAGGTGTGGACCTTCCTCCTCGACTACTACAGCTTCGAGTCGACCTACAAGGAGAGGGAGGCACGCCGGAAGTCACTCAAGTAAGTCTTTAGAGTGTGTGCACTTGTACGACAGACCAAACTCTTTGCTCACTTGCACTGAAAGATGAGAACCGGGCTGTGGTAGGAGGGTTTCACCTTGTGCGCCGATGCAGTGCATGGAAGCGGAATAGCAGGAACGTGCTTAAAGGAGTCATAAAATGCTTTTCCAACTTTTTCCTGTTTAACTTTCCTCCTCAACTCATAAGTCACGCATTCTACCAAACTGTTTAAAAAGACGGAAAGGGGGGAGTGCCCTCTTGCTCGAACTCTCGTTTGTGTACCCGGATAAGCCATTCTCCCCCTGGAATATTAGCCCGTCGCTCAAAATTCAGACAAAAGTTGCTTTCCCATCCCCGTTCACCCCTCAGCTGACAGTGCTGTGGAAGCTACGTGCTCGTTCGGTTAGCTACACTTTTGCCACGTGATCATGCTCTCTCGCGCATACCCACGTGCAGGTATTGAGGTCAGGTGATGAAAGGGAGGCGGCTGATTGGTCCGGCAGGCGCGTAGCTTCCACCACAATGTCAGCTTAGGGGTGAAGGAAATAAGTGAAATCCAGTGTCGTGTGACATTCGTTTGGGCCTGGTGACGCGCTGCGGGGACGCGGATGTATCACAGTGAAAAGGCAGAAAGCTTACGAAGGGAAGGAAGCACGAAATAGTCCGCTGTGTTTTTTAATTTTTGTACTGAAAGTCAGACTTTTGACTTTCTACCTTTTTTCTTTTGGCCCACTGAACGATGTGTTATTAGTAAAATCCCAATATAAATTGATTTATTCCAGCCCCATAATTCGTTTCATGGGCCCTTAACCCTTTTATGGTAGTCGCCGTGCATGTACGGTGGCAATTACAACTTTGAAAATGTCTTCCTAAATGCGAAACTGCGCTCATCACGGAAGATGTTGCTATTTGTTTTGTCTTTGGCGAGCTATAAATGTACTAGCACAGTGCCCTGCTTTTCTGCGTATATTTATCGTTTTGAAATTAAACGCTCCGCACACATAATACAGGCGAGATGGTCGCTGCCCGTGTCGCCTGCTCTGGCAGTAGTGGCAATGGAGCGCCGTCTCTTTCGATTCAGACTTTTAATGCCTCTCGGAATTGAATTCAGAGCTTGATAATGTGGAGGTTTGGGATAGTTGGTAATTCATGCTTGGATGGAACAGCGCAGATATACAGTCATACTCACAGGCACACAAGAAAAAAAACAGACTTGCAGCGCTGACTAACAACTCAGGAATATATTTCTTCTTCCTCAAATCGTCGTCATCTTCTCCTTCGCCGTTAAAAAGAACATTTTAAATTTTTAAACACCAGAAACCAAATAGCTAATAAACATAAATAAATAAATAATAAATAAATAAATGACAACTAAAATTTGAAAAAAAAAAGAAATTAAAAAATAAACGGAAATTCTCTTTTACTATTGGTACTTTGATGTTATCTCGAGATAATCCAATTCTTTCTTTGATAAAGCTAAGGATGGGGCGTTGACGGATTGCTTGTCCAACCTGGCTATTTTTTCAGCTTCAATAATTTCTTGTGTCAGCTGATTACCACTTCTGGCAATAACAGTGCAGTTTCTCAAGTCTGCTGAGCACCCACAGTCCCGTCAATAAATGCTGTAGGTTACCGGAAATTGCTCTGTGTATGTTATAGCGATGTTCTCGTACCGGTCACTCAGACACCTCCCGGTTTGCCTGACATGTCGGTGACGGCGCTTAATCAGCTGCCTCATGCATGTTGCATGCATGACAACCCTGTCGAAGTAAAATTTAAAAAAAAAAAAAACATGCATTGTGTTTGTGCTAGCTCTGCCGTGTAGCGTATCTACAAAACTTTCTCTGGACATGTTTTTTTTTGTTGTTGTTCAAAGTATTTGGTAAACGTTGGGCTGACTGAGTTTCCTCTTAGCAGAGGGCATATTTATTGAAGTCTATCGGGACGTTCCTGGCTACCCTCCGTTATAGCACACAGAGATCCAGTCGCGGCGATTTACGGAAATTAAACGAAGTAATAACCCTTTTTGTAATGCTTCTTACTAAAGTTGCCATGTTGAGTTTAAAGACTTGTTCAATTTGTGGAAGTGTGGCTTTTAATTTTGATGCATTAAGTTTTTTTCTTTTGTAACTGGGGTTTCACTGTCTGAACAGGGATGACTATTACCGCATGAAGCTGCAGTGGAAGTCGTTCAGCGAGGATCAAGAATCGAGGTTTGCGGACTTCCGTGAGAGAAAGAACCTCGTTGGTGAGTGAAATCCTCATTTTTGCAGTTGGTGCATTTGAATCTGTGATCAGGTCCATCAAAGACTAGTCTTGCAAAGTTAGAGTTGAATGGAGCAGACACAGAAACTTCAGTGCTAAAGGCACTCTGACACTGGCTCCTTATTGAAGGGGGGACTAATCAAATTCATCATATGACGGTTCGATTTGATTACCTAGTAGCAGTAACGAGTAGTGGCAGTAACAAGCAGCAGTAACAAGTACAAGTAACAAATGGCAGTAACAAGTACTGTAAAATCTCCCGAGTGGAGCGCTGATAAGTGGAATGTCCTAGACGAGTGAAACTCGGCTGAATGTTTATTTTGCTTACCATGTCCCTGGTAGTCGTTTCATCTTTGATTACTGGCAATTCTGCTATATATGGAAGAGTTTTCCTGGTCCTGTTCTGAGTACCGCATTGAGAGGTTCTTTAGCATGTTTTTTTTTTGTCTTTTGAATACTGCATCTCAGATAGAGTTCACAGTAAGTTTAGTAACAAATTAACCTAAGAGGTAGCCCCTGGGCCATTTCTAACCAAAATTTTTATGCTGATGTGCAGAAATGTTTGTTATTTAAGTTTTGTTCTCTTTGCTACATCTTTGTTATGTGTATGGTTACGTAAGCTAGTCTTGAAGGTCAGTGAAGAATTTTGTTAAAACCCTGAGCTTTTTTGTGCTACATTATGTTCCCTTTTATTTTAGCGAATAAAAAATTATCTTTAAATGAAACTAGTGAACTGTGTCACATTCCCTGTGTTCATTGTGTGCATCTAAATGTATCCCTAAATTGATTGCATCCTGCAATGGGTTTGGTCAGTTTTTCTAATAATCTTTCTTGGCCCCTCCTTTGAAGAGGAGTAACGTTTTTTTTGTAACATCCTTTTTTTTTTACTGTTTGTGCGCATGCTTCTACTTCTGTGTTTTCTTGAATATGCCTGTTACGCTGTTCTCATTGAGCAGTGGTAGCAAAAGTAACCGGTTTCCTCAAGCTTAAAGGCACACCCTTTATGTTCCCGCGGTGGCAAATGCAGAGAAGGACGTCAGCCGGACAGACCGTGCCCACGCATTCTTCCAGGGCGAAAACAACAGCAACGTGGAGATGCTGTACGACATCCTCATGACCTACTGCATGTACAACTTTGACCTTGGTAAGACCAGTCACCACCTGTCTTTATACTTTGCAAAATGTTCGCAATGAGGGAACGTCATATTCTAAAGTAGCAGCCAGTGGCCAAGTGTCCGATCGTAGGGCCCGGGGTTCCTCTGGCTTCTCCATCTCGACGAACACTTATCCGCCTTGAATGACAACCGAGAAACTCCTGCCTTCTTTGGCATTAGCTGCGTTTGATTTACTTGCACCTCCTGCACTGGTGCAGAAAAGTGTAGGGCAGTCTACTTTCGGTCATATCTCAATACACATATTGGAAGTAGGCTGCCCTACACTTTTCTGCACCGGTGCAGGAGGTGCAAGTAAATCTAATGCAGCTACTATTGTTACAGTTAAGCACTACAGAAATCTACAGGCTTTTGCTAGCAATAAAGCACACACTAGGCTGCATTTGGCTCATAAATCTCCACCATTGCACGGCTCAGAGATGGTAAAACAATGCTTAAAGGGGATCACTAGTTTTGGAACTTTTTCCCCTTATCTTTTTACCAAACCCTATAAAACTGACTTGTTGAATTTCAATTGTAGTTTACTTCTCAAGATAATTGTAACTCACCCACCTATGTTTGCAGGAACAATAGGAAAAGAATATGTTTAAAAAAATCACGTTTTAACGCATGGCTAGATAGTACTGCAAAGTATGAAGAATACAATGTTGGAAGTACTTTTCAGATAGCACCATTTTCGTTCACTTTATAACAGTTTAAAGTTCAGTGTTCAGTGTGTGGCTACCAAGCAATCAAACAGTAGTTCAGTATAAAAATTTCCTAAGCCTATATTGAAGTTCTGCTTTCAACATTGTATGATTTGCACATTTAGCTACACGTCACAAAAATTTACCGTAGTTACTCAAATCTAATGCACACTTTTTTTTCCCAAAAAATAGGTCCGAAAATCGTATGCGCGCTAGAATCGAGTATGGGGGGAGGGACCCAAAACTGCGCTACCACATCGCCATCGACATTTCAAAATGGCCACTCCATTGCGCGCTGAGAGGCTTAGAGCGTAGCCAGCGCTTAGCGTAGTCGTGTGTTTTTTGCGTTCTTATCAGCATGGAAGTTCCCACTGCAAAGACACGCCGTGTTCACCATGATGCTGGATTCAAAAGAAAAGTGATATTGTGCGCGGAGAGCGATGGAAATCTAGCCGCATCACGTGCGTTTAGTGTTCCAGAAACTTGCGTGCGGGACTGGCACAAGTAGGGTTACCAACTCTTCAATGAAGGGACTCGGGACGGGGGGACGGGGGGGGGGGGGGGGGGTTGCAGTGCAGTGCAGCGCAAAGGAGGAGACGGGAGATGCAAAGGGGATTAAACAAATGATGATGATGATAGCAGGCGCCCGCCACGATTTCTGGCTTGCCGTTGGTCTTCCATGCTAAAGTGGCTAAAGCCTCGCAGCCAACGCTAGACACCGCAGCATTGTTCGTGCGAAGTTCGAGTTTTGCAGCGTGGCGCGCATTGTTGGCCGTACGTTGGATCACATTTAGGATTTCTAAGTTCTAACTCAACCGTCTGGACTGAATCCGGGACCTATAGCTGTCCCGACAGGGACGATGCGGGACTCGGGACACTATTAGAACAGTCGGGACAGTCCCGCAAAATCCGGGACGGTTGGTAACCCTAGGCACAAGCAGAAAGAAAGTATTTTGGCCAGCAAGTTTCAAAGATGAAATGCTTTGGGCCGTTAACAGTGACAAAAAGCCGTCCGACAGCAATGACGAGTGATGCATACCACCACACGGGCGCTGCCCCGGACCGGCGTCGTGATAACGACCCTGCCGGCGAGAGACGGCGCCATTGATTTCATCGCAAGATTGACGCATTTGGAATAAACCTTTGTTGTTCCAAGTGAGAAAAAGTTAATTCCTATATCCAACCTACAAAATCTGGTGCGCGTAACAATCGAGGTCATCGCGGTTTTTTTTGTTTTTTTTTGACCTCGAAAAATGGGTGCACGTCACAATCGAGGGCGCGTTAGATTCAAGTAAATACGGTATATTTTACATCTGCCCTAGATGTTGAGGTATTCCTTCTCAAAAATCTGCAAAGTGCCCAAAATTTGTGTTTTGAAATAGCGCTGTTTTTTTTGCCTCATCTTCAAATAAATTTTACCCGCATACCGTATTTACTCGCATAATGAACACACTTTTTTTCCAAAAAATTTACACATATTTGGGGGGTGCGTTCATTACGCGGGGTAAAATTTTTACATTTTACACACTTCGTGCAAATATATTAGGTGCCAATATGACACGGCGAGGTACTGTGGCACGTTTCCACTGACGAAGGTGCACCCACTGCTGGTCGTGGGGGGGCCACAGTAACCATGCTTTGTAAACTGTGAACCTTTATAGGGCGCTTTTTGGTGTGCCTTTTGCCGAAGAAAAAGCGCCCTACGCAGCTCACTCAGCACGGAGAGTGACGCGACCGTTCTTAGACCTAACCACTTTTACGATTTCACTGTCTGGAAGCGGACCACAGATGACAGCATGTTTGTTGACATCGATGCATCCGATAGGCGAAGAATGTCTGGGGCTGGGCAATTTTTTGACCTAAGCTTTGTCGAGTGTTCGCGTCGCTTGGTCTCACGGTCGATAACTTCCGTAACTACGCACTTGGAGCCATTAGGGGAGCGGCTTGGCTTGGTTTGGTTTGACTTGGCCTAACTGCTTGGTCAGGCCAAGCGGTCAGACCAAGTTGGATACAGTTCGAGACTCGCGGAGCCGAAAATCGAAAGTGTGTTCAATAAGCGAGGGAAAAAAAAAGTCCAAATGTTGGTACTCGTACCCGTTGTGGGGGGTGCGTTCATTATGCGAGTTCATTCATTATGAGAGTAAATAGAGTAGATATTACTAATTTATATTTTGACTCGAATATTTATTAGCAAAATAAGGTACTTGGCAGATCAGAAGGAAAAGAGTGTTAGATTTGAAAATTGCCATTTCCAAGAAGACAACTTTTTTTTTACTTTTCGGCCCTGACGACCCGTGTCTCCTCGTAAAGTGCAACTCTGCTTCATTTTTGTTGTTGAAAACCATGCAGTTCTCTTCAGCATCACCTAGGAAGACCAAACAACAAATATTATGACCTAGTTCTGTCTGAATGTTTCTTAAAGGGATACTTCAACGAAATTTGAAATATTCCCGTCGTGTTCAAAAGTAGGTTGAATATGATCCACAATATCCGTAAATGACAATCGCACGTTTGTATTTTGAGCCTGGTGGCTGTATTTTTTGTTATAAACGGCCTACTCTGGCAAGCGCTCGGTGAAGGCCCAGCGGAGACCACGTGACCTCCAACGCAATCGTGACGTAGGTCGTCTCAGGACAAGCAAAGGTACGGCGAGGCTGACGTCGAGAGGATGGCCTAGTTGTTCCAGCCACCGAAGCGGCTGCTTTTGTACGAATTTTGAGTGACGGGTTAATCTTCTGTAATCTTGTAGGGGGACAATAGCTACTTCTGCAACACACAAAAGGCATTCTCGGGAAGAGGGGAGTTTCTCCTGCCCCTCTTCTCTCGTCGTGGCCGGAGGCGAGACAACTTCCGTCACTCGCTGTCAAGGTTCCTAGATGGGCATTACAAGCGAGGCGTTAGCGACATCCACCAGGTGCTCTTTGCTAATCGTTGAATTCGTTTTCAAATTCCTTTTCGTGACTTTTTAACAAGTTATTGGTAGGTTCGATGTGAGGCTGCTCCTCTGAACACAAATAGACCAAAAAATGAGCACCGAAATTTTGTTGTAGTATCCCTTTAAACGGTCCAGTAAACTTAGCAACTTGCCAAGTTGCTGAAATCAACTGACTTGAGCGGGCGAATTGAGGCGCAACCAACAGTGCAGTCAAGACTGCGGCGTGGGCGTAGCCAACATTGAGCTAAATGTCATCACCATTGCCCCCTTTTGCTTGGTTTTACGTCTCCGGGCAAGCGTAACAGGTGACGTCAGCAACGTTTCTTCTCGGCGCTCAGCGATGCAGTAATGCATGCTCCCATAGCCATATTGGCTTGGCTTGGTGTGGCTAGGCCGCTTAACTGGCTGGACCACCTGCCGATTCTATCGCATGCTACACCGGATCCTTCTTCTTCCCGACCACGCACATGGAAGATAAAAGTGTTAAAATGCAGACAGGTGCAATTTAATCCTGGCCAGCATTATCGCGAGGCTTTTTTATACTCCCAGAGTTGCCGGACTTTTTAAGCATGTGGGAAACCCTTTAAATTAATCAGTTCCAGAGGTTACATTTTGAATTACCACGCATGTTTTCCCATAGATTTGTCTGTGTAATTGCCGTGATCACACCCTTGCTTCAAACTAACTGAAAATTTTAATAGAGCGACTGAACTGCCAAGAGTCGACATAGTGGATTTTGCGTTCAAAGCAAATTTGAAGCAAATAGTGGTTTTGGTTGAATATTTTCTAATCAGATATATTGAACAAGCCTTTCACTACTGTTGTCCCATGCTTAAGGGGAGACACCCCCCTGGGAAGGTCAACTTTTGAACCCTTGGCTTAAAATTAATGAATTTTACAGTGTAGGCTGGTGGTCATGCTAGAGGGTGCATAAAAAAATTTCAGGTCTGTCGGTTAGATGGGAAGGAAATCAGGGCAGCTTCTATCAGCAACACCCCTACATTGTTTAGTTAATCTTTCATCGGAAAACTATCACAATATTCAAGATTTTTATTTGCTAGATATGTGGCAGAATGCCTAGGAGGTGCGCCTATGGAAAGTTTCTTGTAAAATGTCATTGATTTCTATCAATTTTCTCTTCTGCAAAATGGGTCAACTTTTTGGTCTTCTGTGTTTCTGACAAAATGTCAATATTTTTTATAAAAGACATCCATAAAGTGAAAAACAAACTCCGTAGGCACATTCCTTATTAAATTTCAGTCAGGAAAAGTGAAGAACGAGCCTTCCCTGTATTTCCATTATCAAACGATAGATTGACTAAAATGGAATTTATACCAAAAAGTGGAACGGAGAAAAATGTGTTCAAAGTGCTGCAAAACCTACCTTTTTTTTAGCTTCGGTGGACAGAAAATAATATATAAAAAAATTAATTATGCATTGTAAACTAGAGAAAATTTCTGGGAATACTCTCTGGATGTAGATGGATGTAAATATGTAATTTTTCAAAATCAATGTTTTTTGCAGAATTTTTTTTTCTCTGGGTAGTGTCCCCCCTTAAACGAAAACCCAGCTGAAGGGGTGAAAAATGCTCCCAAGCTTCAACTTGTTCATTTCTAAGCTGAGTGAATTTTAATCTTGACTACCTATAATTATCGACTGTGGCCCCAGAAAGTTTGAGACCTGCATTGGGGTGGCAAGTAAATAATGGATTTGACAAAATTAAGCCTACATAATATCGCGAAAGGTGCCCCACCCCCCGAATGATAACCCACCCCTATTTTGATATGATTTGCTAGATTTTTTTTCCAAAAACACCGAAAGATAGCCCACTTTCAGTCATTGCAGGGACCTGGCCAAGAGTTATTCTGGCCGAAATGGGGTTAATTAGTTACGGCGGGAGATAAGCAAAAGTTGCCGACTGGGAAGGACGGTCATTTATGCTCTGTTGCCTTTCAACGTAACAGCAAGTTTGTCAAGTCTCGAAGCACGAAAAGAGCATTTTTAATATTTTTCTCGATCACACACGAAAAGTTGGCCCACTTCTCATTTTCATCCAATTTGCTCTCACTTTTGGGTGGGCTGTCTCTCGGGAGGGGGACGTTACGGTATACAGATGCCCAGCTATACCTAATCGAGGTTTTTTTTAAACCTTCTTGCTGTGTGCAAATATCCTTCCTTCAAATTTAAGTTTGAATCGGAAGAAAAAGACAATCGTAAATAATGAACGCAGGTTGTCAGAACATCTCTGCCTGACCTAAGCCCCAACTGCTCCGAGCTATGCAAAGTTTGCACAATAGGGCACTAATTCCATACCTTTGTCACTCTGACCCTTTTAATTTTTTTTTTCCCCCACAAAGAATAGAAGAGTGGAGCAGTCTTCCTGAAGTACATGTTAATTCACCTTCACTCGTATTGTTCCTGAATACATTAGAAGGCCGACTATGGAAAGTTGACTATGTCTATATTGTTTTTTTACAGCGGAGCTGTTAAGGGCTAGGTTCTCCAGGATCAAGTCCGGTACCAAGATCTTGTCGACACAAACCTCCACAAACCTCTGGACAGTTACCGCCTTATATAAGCGACGGCGGCAAGCACACAACCAGTCTGGTTGCCGCCGTCGCTCGTAGATGGCGGCGACCTTTCCAGCTATCAAAGAAGAATGGATAGTTGGGCGCGTTTGTGGGAATCCATCGTAGGAAACAGTGCGAAAAACAAACGAGGACGAAGAAGAAACACACGTGACAGGCACAGCACTCGTCACGTGTGTTTCTTCGTCCTCGTCTGTTTTGCGCGCTGTTTTGTATGCTCTTATCAGTTTCGGTTTAGACTCAGGATAAGCCGTGCATGTGCCCTTTCGGGGAAAGAAGATCGGGTGCGGAAGAGCGGCGACATAGGCAGCAGCGCGAACGGGTCCGCAACCGACGTGAGGCCGCTGTCGCCTCGACTTCCACTGCGTCCATCGCTTCAGACTCCCTTGCGAAAGAAGAGCACATCGCTTGCCTGGAAAGCCGCCGCCGAGAACAAAACCAGCGATGTTAACGGCGCCGGCGGGCTACGTAGGCCAAGCACAAGTGCAAGGCCCGCCGACGATAGCACTCCACGCCGGCTGAACCGTTCCCGAGTGCGGCGGCGAGGCTCCGGAGGGAGTTTGTGGAGAACCCGTTTGGTGTCATGTGCGCCGTGTGCGACCGACTCTGGTTCGCTAGGAGTGTCGGACAAGAAAAATCAGGAAACGGGCGCATGCGCGCTGCGGCAGTGTATCGAGTCGGCGGATGTCTACAAAGAACCGGCGTGCAGAACGTGCCGAGATTCCCTGCTCAAAGGCGCGGTGCCCCGGTTCGGTACCATGAACGGCTACAGGTACCCACCCGTGCCGGAGAACCTATTGAGGTTGAACGTGGTGGAGGAACGACTAGTGGCGCCTCAACTCCCGTCATTCATAAAGTCTCCATTTCTTTGGAAATACACCAGGCACCATCCCGCTTTGAAAGTGTGGTCTTCTCCTAAGCACGGAACTGCAATATTTATACTTTTCGAAGTGTTCATTGCAACTGGTTAGCCCCGTGCATACTTCCAATCGAGCACCGGTGCGTTGCGGGGAGGCAACACCCATAGAGCTCCCTTCCGCGGGTATTGCTTCTCCGCAGTGCACCTGTGCTTGAGGAGAAGCGCACTTGGAAGCTTTTCGGACGTTACAAACATACACATTGTGCACGTGATGTTAAATTGCCGTGCATTTCGTCACGTTGTTTGTGCACGGTTGCAGGCTATGTGCAGGGCATGAGCGACCTCCTCTCCCCCATCCTGATTGTCATGGAGAATGAGGCGGACGCCTTCTGGTGCTTTGTCGGGTTTCTCAAGCGAGTGGTGAGTGCCTCGTTCGACCTCGGTCTAATTGCCAGATTTTCTGAACCATGGTCTGCGGTGGGCGAATTTTGGATGGAAAAGAGTGTTTTTCTTCAGATTGTCTGCCCCTGGCGCACATAGCGTGTGCTATACACTGTTCCAGTTTAAGAAAAGTGGGACACATTCCTCTCACACCGCCCTCCGGCCGTGAGCAGAGAACTTTTTGTCGTAGAGGCTTGTCCCGTTTTCTTTTACTTGCAGCAGACTAGTATAGGTGTTTACTTCATCTACGACCTTCTGCTTTCGAAAATAAGTCTGCAGTTACCCGACAAATAGCGCTCCAGCTGACTACTACAAATAGCACTCCATGCTGACTACTAGTAAAACAATATGAGCATAAATTCATCTTCTTTTCATAGCTGTCATTGTGTTTCATAACTAGGGTTCCGTGTTTTCAGAGTTTATTTTTCATCAAATTTGGAGGGTGTTTTTCGGAGTTTATTTTTGTTTGATTCCCAATTCTCCGAAATTCTGAGTTTAATTTTGCTGCGTTTCCCATTAAAAATAAATAAATAAATAGATAATATCCAGGCTAAACATATGCTAAATAAAAAAAAAAAACGCGCTTGTATCAATTAATTATTCTTCAGCTAGATTTGGGACTGGTGCCATTGCCATTGGCAATACTCATTTGTCCCACGGCAAAAGTGGCACGCAAGAGCTGCTTCGATAACCGTCAATACCTTAAAATCGATAAACTCCTGGAGATAATCATGTCGTATTACACCTGAGACTGCGGTGGAAGAAATCGGAAGAACTTTCAGTAGAAGGAACAGACACAGAGAACGTCTCAAACTCAGTTCGAGACGTTCTTTGTGTCTGTTCCTTCTACTGAAAGTTCTTCCGATTTCTTCCACCGCAGTCTCAGGTGTAATACGACATGATTAGCTACCACCAGCTCGCCTGCACTCTCACCGTCTTTTCACTCCTGGAGATAGTCACTGGGAAGCTTGTACTCATCCCATCCATAAACCTAAACCGTGGCCACGCAAGTTGGAGTGGTAAAGGAGTAATGGAGAAGTTTCAGCTGCCCCACTCCCCCATTTTATGTGATCTCTATGGTGCATGGCTTTCACTGTGACGAAAGCACAACCCTTCTTTCTCAAAGAAGCACAAGTAGTATGGCCCAAACTGGAATTCAAAACAACGACTTTTGTCGTGACCCAAATGTACTACGACCTGTTGTCCTGAATGAACCTAGCGGTAAGACACTTTTTGATGATGTTCCGAGATTGGAAGGATAACTGTTGTGGCATTTCCCAGGACCATTGACCCTGTGCGCTGATCAAACTTAATCGTAAAAAATCATCCTTTTTTCTTCTTTTTTTTTTTTTTTTCTTTTTGCATTGGCACATCAAAATTTGGAGTTCTTCAGATAAATTTGAATAGACCAAAATTTTACTGGCGGGTGTTTTTCTGAGTTTTACGGATTCATTCGAAAACGCAAAGCCCTAGTTATGATTCATATTGTTTAAACAAAAACAAATACAAGCACGAACGCTCCTCATTTCAGAAAGACTCCATCCATCCATTTAGGCAATGGGCGTTTGTTCCATCAAGATCAAGCTTGATCCACTTTGCCGACGCTATCCACCGCTATTTTGTGCATCACTCGCAGGAGCATCGAAGGCAAAAGTTACCCAATGACAGTCTATGTTTATCTTGCCGACGTATGCCCGGCAAGAAGCAGGGATCTCGACAACTGCACCGGACGAGACCTGCACTGATAACGAGCGATTTTGAAAAACAAATCTTTGTATAGTCTGCACCTCTAGATAGTCTACACCGTGCAGAATATAGATGTTTAAACCTTTATAATCTGAAATATATAGCCCAAAGAATATGGCAAATCTCCCTAGTTTTTTCTACATCCATCCCTTTCTGTTTGCCTTGTTAACCTCTATGAAATGAGTTGCACATTTGTGTGGTAGTTTACTTGCCAGTTTGGAGGGTGGAGGTGTGCCTGTGCGAAGCAGTAAAACTTGACACAAGAGTTTTGGAGTGAAGCAGTGAACCTTGATGCAAGAAATCGGAATTCATGAAGACAATTCCTAATTTTGAAATATTCGAAAAACTCAAACGGTACTTCGAAGAGTAAATGCTTGCTACAAATCGAATCGAATAGCAAACACTACGCGCAAATTATTTTATATGTAGAATATTCTCACACTTTTGATTCTTTGTACTTGGTTTCTCACAGTCGTCCAACTTTGACCTGGACCAGAGTGGCATGAAGGAACAGTTGAGTCAGCTCTACGATATCCTCTCTCTGGCTGTACCCAAGTTGGCCATCTACCTTGGTGAGGAATGATTGCCTGCTTTTGTTTCACTATCAAATACTCTCACAGGGCAGATAAATGCCTGCTTCATAATAAGCTCTCACTCTTACCTAAGCAGGATGCTTATGAGGGAGATTTCTCTCTGTCAGGGCTTGCAAGTTGAAATGTTTGCATTTTTTTGGCAACAGGTATAACAGGTATTGCAGCACCTTTAGTTCAAATCTCTGTTGGAAAATTGTAAGTGGTTTTAAATGTGTTTGCAGTGATGCCATGTCAGTAGTAGATTGCCAAAAAGTGAACAGCTGTAAACAACTTAATGTTTGCAAAGACCTCATTTTTTGCAATTTTCACAATTTTCAAATATTGTGAAAAATTAATCTCTTGAATATATGAGCCCATGGTAACAAATACATTGTATTCCGCTTCCAATCGAAAAAGTTTTGTGCCTGTGAAATATTTTTTGAAGCCCACACTTCGAATCTGTAGAATTTAAACATGATGAAAAACATCTAATTAAAGGACAAGCAGGCGCCGTCTCGCAACTGAGGTATATTAATGAGAGGAAACAGACGACACAAGTAGCTGAAATAAAGCCTGGAAAATCAAACAGGACACTTTGTTGAATGATCACCAAATTGTCCAGCTTACCACCTTACTATGTGTAGGATTTGTGAAGAATGAGCCCTACTCAAAATTTGATGCTTTTGTTGTGTGCATTTGTTATACCCGTGCATTTATACTGAGTGAACTGTGCCGTAATTGGGGGGCAGAAACAGTTACTTGATGAGAAAAGTAGTTCCTTCCTTTACTCAAGGCAATAATTGTATTGCAGTTGTAATTAATTACAACACTGTAATTACTTGCACATTGAATTACTTCGCAACTCTGCTTTGGAGTGCCCCGGTCTCATCTGCTAGAGCTCATCCTGCGTTCATATCGGAGAAGGTTCCATAAGGTGACGAATCACCCACAAGGGCATCAAAATAACTTGCCGTTTCCTGGCTTTAGACGAGCAGGAGTCTGGCAACCTGTACTTCTGCTTCCGCTGGCTGCTGGTGCTCTTCAAACGGGAGTTCAAGTGCGAAGAAATCATGAGGCTCTGGGAGGTGAGAATTGCCTCGTGTGTCAAATTTTCAAATTTGTTCTAGATACTGCTGACTAGCGGTCATTTTCACGACTCTACGATTGTTGTATCGTGTCTCCGACTAGCGTGTTTACTGTGTTCTTGACCGTGGTCCCTCGATTTCTGCCTGACACCGTCGCAGAAATGTCATACCATTGTCTGTCACAATTCTGGCATTGGCAGACACCCGTTCTGCTGCGGGTCGCTCTGCAGAAAGACGGTCAAAGGAAACCAAAGCAGACACAAGTTGGAATGTGACATGTCAGCTTGCATGATGCAATTTGTTGCCGCTTTGGAACCGCTTTCGATGCATGGGAGGGATGGGACGGTAAACCCGGCAGTCAAAGGCTCAATTTGGGTACCTCGGTTGCATCGGACCTGATATGGATCCCCAGGGGTCTCTTACTTAGGCCGTTGGGATTTCAGTGGTAGGGTGATACGTCTGTGCATGGCTCCTTACGAATTTATTTTTATTGTATCTCGAATACTGCTGAGCCACTTCTTTGTCCGGCTGAACTGCCACGTTGTACTGTTCCTTAAGCTATCTCTAATAGGGTGCAAGGTTGTTATGATATAGATCCAAGTTGTAAGCGAGATTTGAGATTGTTTTAGGTAGGATGCGCAGAATGTGATTACTACATTACGGCAGATTTATCTATGCATTGTTTTAACTACCTAAGTGGTACATACTAATTGAGAAGCTCGAACAAGAATTATTTTCTGAAAATAAATACGGTACCTGCCTGTCCTTTTTCAACGGCTTGATCTCGTGGTGGTCAGTTATCTGCCTCTTGACAAGCATTTTCACACCACAAATTGAACAAACCGAAGGGCCGTCCAAACAGAACACGGCAAATGCTGTGCACGGCAAAAGAAAGTGCGCACACTTCTCGAAACACTGGAACGTTGCAGCGAGCATGTACGTTTTTCAGTGTCATCAACCACACAAACAACACGGCTTTCCTCCTCACTGGCTCGGTGTTGGCTCCTTGCCTTCTTGTTTTCAGGAGGTTAGGGAAGGACACAATAGGCAGAAATCCTGATCACAATCGGCAGAGTGCGCGAGTGTCCAGATCCACATGACGAGCATGTTGCAAGCCTCTTTTTGTGGATGGAAGCGGAGGGTAGCTTTCCCCCTGGGCAAAGAAACGTCCCAAAGCTGACCGTAAGCGTAGGGAAACTTCCGTCTCCGGTACAGGAAGTGCCGCAAACTTCAGGAAACTTGTCCAGTTTGGACAGCCCTTGACTCTCTCAGTCATCCAGCATCCTGCTTGGTTTACGAGCGGCATTTTTCTCGCGATGCAGGTCCTTTGGAGTGGCTTGCCTTGCAAGAACTTTCATTTGCTCATCTGCATTGCCATCCTGGACAATGAGAAAGATCTGCTCATTGAGAACAACTACGGGCTTAACGAGATCCTCAAGGTAGGTCCTTTGTGTCGTTTGAGGGGCTGGTTGGAACTGCTCAGGGGGATGGTGTAAAAGTAGCAACAATAGGTTTGGGCTCTCGTTGGCGGATTTGCAATATGTGGTGGGTGTGTAAAGAAAGGTAGGCAACTGTAAAAATCTTGTATGAATGCCCACCCACGGTAAAAAATATCAGTTGGGTGGTCCTTGTGAGATGAGACAGTAGAAGTTTATCGAAAATAAGCTACAAACACCACAGCATCCTCTGTCAAATGCACGACGTAGGAACTGATGCCACGATCCATGGATGCACCAGGTTTGCGTTCCTCGGTGGGATAAACATGTGACCTACTTGCACCTGCCAAGTCTCCCGTGTTGCCCGGGAGACTCCCGAATTTCGACCAATTTGTATGGTTATACAATTGACAAAAAAATCTCCCGGAAAATGCAAATTATCTCCCCTCCCCGCACTTAAACAAGGATTCTTTGCCGTCGCAACAAACGGCTGCAATACAGTCTAAGCTCGTTACAACAGACCTGGTTACAACAGACATTTGGATATAACATACCAATTTGTGAAGTTCGGTTGGTTTTCCTCTATGTACCATTGACTGAGCTTCCTATCTGCTTACAACGTACTCCTTTTACAACAGACTGAAATCTTGGTCAAAATCAAGGTCTGTTATAACGAGCTTCGACTGTAATAGCAAAGCCCAGCTGTATCTCGCTAGCATGAGCAGTGCATTATAAATGAAGTTGTCATGATGTACATTTGTTATCATTATTTATTCTTAAAAACCGCAACCCCCCTTGTGCCCCCCCCCCCCCCCCCCCCCCCCACTTCACCCCCTCCCCACACTTAAAAAATTCTCCCAGATTTGGTTTTTCCAAACTAGGCAGGTACTACAAACTCGCTTGTCACATGTACCGATACCGCAGCTTGCGCGGTTGATGTGACTGCTATTGAGCGTCGCACAATGTTCGGCGGGAATGGGGGTGGGCAATGTTTCATAATTTTTAACCTTTAGAGACTTGACCAGAAAAACGAGATGGGCAATCTATCAAAGAAGGGCATTCATGCAAAATTTTATGATGTCTTAAAAAAAAAATTCTATCTACATCTTTTTTTATACACAGCTCCAGAAGGAATCTTTTTAGATTTGGTAATGTCCTGAAACTTAGCCCATTCCCTTCTATCTTTCAATCCGAACTCCACGGGGGTGGACTAACTTCGGTGTCCGACACAGCGAGCTCTTTTTCAGGGGCCACAGTGATTTGCTTTTCTCGTGCTCCATGGAGAAGTAGATTAAATCGCCTTTTAGTGCAACAGACTCGAAAGTTCCTTTAATCATCGAACGACCCTATTGTACGATGTCTTGTCGCGCGACGATTCATTACATTGGGTGACATTCCACCTCCGTACTTCCCCAACGAACTTGTGCTGTGCGTGTCAGTATCTCGCGCGTCACACTTGCGCAACATTTTTTTTAATGTCACGGTTGCACTTGACCCTCTCCGTCAAAATGTCCTATTGCGCGTAACTTAGGCCTGGTTTCCGTCCGAACAGCCGGACCGATCCTACGGTGCCTGGAGCGTGTCTCCGACCGGTGTTTATTGCGTCCTCGTTCGTGGTCCCTCTGTTTCCGTCCAACGATGTGGAACACTTGTCACGTTGTTGCCCATCGCAATCCCGGGAGAGGCATGGCGGCAGCAGCGGACATGTCCGTCGTCCGTTTTGTCTCTCTCCATCTCGACAGCTGGCAACAGTTTCCGCAGCCACGATTTGCGATGCTGCGACAACGGCGACACTTGCGTTTGCTCCCACTTTGTGCTAGAACCTAACATGTGAGCTCCTGCAAGGTCGTCTCTGGCCGCTTGCAGGCCACTTTCGATGCACAGACGGTGAAGGACGTCGTACTCACCGGTCGAAGACTCCTTCTAAGCCCCGTGCAGATGCGGAACCTTTAGCTTTTGCATCCATAAACGAGGCATTAAGGCGATACTGTTTAGAAGAAAAAATGTTTCTGCAAGAAAAGTCAGTTTGGAAAATTGGCATGTTTACGTCCGTCAACATCTAGAGAGTATTCCGAAAAGGTTTTATTTCTTTACACTGCGTAGTTATTTTCTTATAAATTATTTTCAGTACATTGATGCTAAAAAGAAAGGTAGAGTTCAAGCACTTTAACACATTTTCCTCATTTTACTTTTTGGCATAAGTTTAACTCAATAAATTTATTGTTTCAGTATGAGACTATCGAGGAACTCAGTTTTTACGGATTATATACTGAAATTTTATGGAATCGGCTACTATTAACTTAGATTTTGCATTTTCATGTTTTTCTTAAACAAATTTTTTTCATTACTTTTTTTAACTTAAAAAATGCATATTTTGTGAAATTAATTTTTATAGTAACCGGAAACAGGTATTCCAGTATGAACTCCACCAGAAAAATATTTGGTTATCAACACCATTTCTCAACGATAGATTCGTTGAGCAGGTTCCATGCCATGCTATGGTTTACTTCCTTCTGGGTGTGTAGTACCTCATGCAATTGGTTTGCAGAGCTGAAAATTTGCATGCCCTCTTTCTATATGGCTACAAATGCCACCTGCAGGTTTCACACGGATTGAGTGAGCGGTTTTGAAGTTAACACTTCTAGGTAGGGTCCTCCCTTTACCCTTTGACGTTAAATCTTTTTTCCCCAAGAGATGATTCCCAGTGGTCCGGTCTTGTTGTGCAAAGGAATAGTATAAAGAAAGGGCCAATGCGCATGTTGTTTCTAAATCATCTAGAGGGAGCATGTACAGTGCTTGCGAGCTGTTTCAGTTTGGAAGTATCATACGAAAATATTAAAAGCGAAAAGCTGTCACCTTTTCTTAATTCGGTTTCATATTGGCACATTCACGTCTGCAACATTCCAGCAGCTTTGGATTCCTAAGCTGATGTACTTTATAAATTTTTTCCATCAGACGATGAGCTCTCATTATCTAAATCTAATTCCGAAAAGCATGCGTGAAGCGTCTAATCTGAAAACTTAAAGTAGCCCAGCAGTGCGAATAGAATGTCTATAGTTAACCAAAGACTTAACAAAAAGCAAACACCTCCCATGGTGTGCGCAGTTTCTCATATAGGCGGGCTTTTTCAAATGTGTAATCACCGCCGTACATGTATGGCGACGACCGTCAAAGGTCTAAAACTCCAATGTCGATCTAAATGCTTAGACGCGGCTCTTTGTTCTCCCTCGGACGCAGCACATAAACGACATGAGCTACCAGATCGACCTCGACAAGTCACTGTCCACGGCAGAAGCCATTTACCAGCAGCTCCTCGGTCTGGCCAAGCTCCCAGATTCGGTGCGGCTTGCTCTCGACATACCACTCGGCACGGCAGATCCCACCCAAAACGGCAATGGCCCCGCGGAGCAGACGGAATTCCTGACACCCGAACACCTCTCACCCGTGGAGCCGCTGACCATGTCTTCGCCCGAGGTGGCCGACCGATCGCGATCGGGCAGTGGCCGATCGGCCGGCCGCACGACGAGCTCGAGCTCCAACAGCGTCGAAGTGATCCCCGATCGCGACGGCGATGTCGAAGCCCACTACGAGCGGCACTTTGACATGATCAACTGAGCGAGTGTGGTTAGAGACGGATGCAATCTTTATTCGGTGGGTCTCTTTTTCTATTGCCGGTGCCGGTCGTGCCTAATCGTGGTATCGACTAGGTCGTGTCGGCACCGGTGTGGGTGTTGGCGAAAACAGGCGAGACTGCGTCCCTGTTCTTTTTCGTGCGGTGCCTCTGGAAAGCAGTTCCGCATTTTGGTTAACCCCTTAAAGTTGCGGCTAGATGTAGGTTGCTTCTCTTTCGGGCGGAAGTTTTTAGTCTAGATATGATCAATGTCCCCGGGCTTTAACGATCGGACTCGCGTTGTGCAAGCACCTGACCGAGAAGCCTGGGCTTATCTCGGTTGCAACTCTTGCAGCTAGCTACATCTAGCTGCCGATTTTGCAATTTTATATTTGTGAAGCTTGCTCTCTATTACCCCATGGTTCCGTTTCCAGTGAAAGCGAGTTTGTCTCGACTCTGCTCCGTGTCTGACTGTCGTTGCGACTTGTCGCACTCGACGAAATTGCGGCCTCCGTTTCATCGGCGGTTCAAGGCTAGAAAGCAGCGACTGTGTATTTTCTTGTTATAAGTATTCAAGTGGTTTTTGTCTTCGTTGTACTGTCCGGTGCTGCTACAATCAAGTTTTTATCACCATTTGAACATAGATTGGAAGGTGACAATCTCGACCAAAATTGTGTCTTTCGTCGAGGTCTTTTTTTTTTTTTTTGCACATAATGAATGCTGGCATTATAACGGTTCATTATCTTTCCTGTTGGTGTATTTTTTATGTGTAACCCGTGTTTTGAAAAAATGCAAAGCTTTAGACCAAAATGGTTGCACCCTCTTGTTTTTGATTTTGGTGCACTTTTCCAAATGGGTCTTTCAGATGCTCCTAACTTTTTACTATTATTTGGACTTGGTATTTTTGTGAGGGTAAGGCACACATGCGTGGAAGAACATTCAGTAGTTTCTGAATCATCAAACAAATGTTTAATTAGACGGTAGCAAATTTGATGAGAAAAGGTATCCAAGATCTCATGCACCTTTTGTTTTTTGACATGGCCTACAGCATTGTCGCGAATTTACTAACATTGTAACGTCGAGGATTTGTAGGCCAACAGGTTTGTGCCTCTTGCATGCCTCTGAAATTCGGCCAACCTTTTTCTCTGTATTATTTATTAGCACCGTGGCTGTTTACCGACTGTGTTTACATATTTGTTTTATGCTTGGTGGCACATATTCCGGGTATAGTGTCTAAAAGAAAAGCAGTAGCTACTTGCTCTGTTCCATCTGCTAGAGAGAGTTGCATGTGACACATTATGATATTTTGAAAATTGTGCTCTTTTATTGTCCAGATTAATGTAGACACATTTAAGTTTGTTCTGAGATTAGGTTTCAACATTGTATATTTCCTCGAGAGACACATTTTTTCAGAAATAAAAGAGATGTTTATCCGTGTAACTGACTCATTCTTTTACTGCTCTTTAAACCTGATGCTGTGGGTCCGATTTCGGCGACTGCGAAAACGAGATTCAGGCGAAAATATGTTAAAGCAAGAAAACACCTTCACATTGTCTGTTAACAGAACCGAAAGAAGGTGGTTGGACTGCTACAAACAAAATGCTGTGACAAGTGATACAGCAGCTATTAGCTGAAATAGACCCCTTTTTGAAAGTGCGCGCCATCTGGTAGCGGCTGCGCCAGTCGCCCGAGTGCGCTATTGTTTGATCACATACTCTGTGCATGCACTGAACATAAGGGCTGCATTGCTGTTCGATGTGAACTCTGTTCGGCTCGCATCGAGCGAAGGCGTTGCGTCAGCGCTCGGCGAGGACGCGGACCCAATCGTACACCTTGGGCCCTATGGATGGTTGGATGGATGCTAACCCTGTACCCTTTATAACGGGCGGTAGCTTGCGCCACCTAGCCCTAGAAATGTTAGTCGCCGATGTTGCTTGATGGGGTTTTTTGAAAGTGTGTGTTATGAACGTCTGATCTTTTGAGTTGGAATCACCAACTCATACTTCTTTTGTAAATCGCAGTTGTTTGCTGCCATACGCGAGCTCGCGTTTACTGGTGGATAAAAGGAGCACTCGGGACAAGCTTGTCAAACACTGCGAGACCTCTGGCCATTAGCGTGTAGGTAGGAAGTTCTTGCCGAAGTATTGTTCAGTTGTGGACTTGTGCACGAGTCATAAATTTCTTGGTGGTCGATAATGCGCGACTAGCAGAAAGCTGCAATGGCATGTCTGGTCGGCAGCCAAGAAAGCTCTCGCCAGAGGCTAAAGTCTGACCCCAGGAATGTGATGCTTCAAATGATCCGGGTAAAGGTAAATCTGCTTAGTAGGGCAAGCCAAATAACCGTTGGTTCAAAACCTTCGCTTTGCTGGATGTAGCATTTTGATACTATATAAATCTCGGAATGGATTGACCAGGAAATCGACATACACCTACAATGACTGGTCTGGAGGGTCGGGGTCTGATTTTTGCTAGGTGGGCCAAATACAAATACAAGTCTTCTTGAGAAGGCACAGGTAATTTTCAGATGTTTGTGCATGGCATATTGAGGGCTTCCAAACTTTTTAAGGATCGGAGTTTGATGGACTTGAATAAATAAATGTTTTGTCCGACTGATTTACAGATACTGAGCTTGGCACTGCACACTGCGCAATTTGCGGTTGACAAAGTATGAACTTCCTTGTAGTGAGACAATTGGACTTGCACATGATGTGGGCATATGTGCACAAATTCAAGCAAACTGGAACGTGTCCTGTGGCAGTGAACAAATACAACTGGTATTACATTTTAAAACTGCTCATCCAGAGATTTTGTTAGTGTTCACCAGAAGTTGGTGTACATTCATTTACAGTTGTATACTATCTGGGAGGGCTATGGAGCTTGAGTTTCAGTTGTGCGTTAGCACTGGTACTTGTCCTCTCCATCTTCCAATGCTGCCAGCCCAATCTGGAAAAAAGGAATAATGATTTTTATGAAAAATTCATATAAACCAGATTTATTTTTGTCTAATTTAGATTTATAATATTTAAGTCAGAATAATTTGATTTAATTCACTAGCTAGGAAAGAAGCGGTTCTTTGTCACTGTATGTATTAATTTGATCACTGAGAAATGTACGGAAAAAATGAATACTCTACATTTAAATGTCTTAAAAGTACAGTTTAACAACTTTTTATTGATGTCTCGACAAAACGACCTTTACTTTTGCAAAATATTACTTTGTTTTCGAAAAAAAATTATGTTAGGAGGTTGAACAATTTTCCTAGTGACGCGTAGACACAACTTCGAGAGCCAGAATAATAAAGAATACAACTTTTTTAAAACGTAAATATTTTTATGTATAAAGCACGCTAGCGGATATACTTGAATTTGATTTATTTTATAATATGACAAACTTGGCCTCTTGCGCAACTTTTTCATATTTGTGCATTTTTCGGCGATATTTTAAAAACTTTTTTTAAACATGTTCGAAGAAATGCAAAGTATTTCATGCTTTGTTCACTTTTAACAAGGAAGTATGCACTTAACTATTAACATTTTTTACATTGCGCCCGGCAGTATTCTATATACCGAAAAAGCAAAATTATTCAATTTTTGTTTGGCAATTAAAAAAAAATATCCTCGATTTCCTCCAAACTTTTTTCGATAATCCCTTGAAAACCGATAATTCAAAGACTGCAAAGACCTGTTACATTATATTGTCTTAAACTAGAAAACCATTGGAAGGTTTTTATCTAAAAAACTACCGTAAAATCCCAAGTCATCGCCCACCCCACTTTTGGGCGAATATAGATTTCCAAAAAACACCCGAGTGATTGCCCACCCCTAAAAATACCCCAACATGGACTCCGCGATATGCAAACATTCATATCCTATCTGAATGACGCGGCCGCGGACCTTACAGTTGGGGGACGTCCCTGACAAAGTGATCTTTCCTGATTTCCGCTGCCCCGTAGTGGGAGCACATGTGTGTGAAAGGAAAACAATGGAGATAACAAAATGAAACTTTGTTTTGCTTACAAAAAAAGTTTGTTCGGACAAAAGAAAAAGTCGGAAAGATAACACAAGCAGTAACCCATTCAGGGATCGCTACGTCAGCGAACACCCCATATCCTGGAATGTAACCGCGGAGTATAAGGTCAAAGTCCGTTTCCATATCGAAATAAGGTCACCGCAAACTCGCACCTCCTCCCAAAATGCCGTGATCGCAGTTGGTAAGGTTGCGTAAGGTTCGAGACAGAGCCAACAGGTAAATAACGATCTGCTGGAACGCCGCACACAAACTTTTGTAATGCATTCCATTTCGACCTTTGTGTTTGTGGTGCTGTACGTCCACGCAGCAACGCTGCCCAGTTGAAAAATTCCCATTAGGTTTCAGTTGATTTTTCTCAATTGGGTTTTCGGGCAATTTGGAAGAACCATTTCGAATCCCTTCAGGTTCCAACTGGAAAAATAATTCCAAATGATGAGACCACTTGGCCAGTGATGTCAGAATGACGCCGAACTATGATTGGCTTTGATTGAAAGCATAGTAAGTAGACCTCCCCAGCTAAATATTTCCATTAGATCTACTTGGAACTTTAACTGGTCTTAATTGGAACCAATTGGTTTTAGTGGGTTCCAATTGGAGGCACACTGGCCAATGGGTCTCACCAATTGGAATAACTTCCAGTTGGAACGAATGGGTGCCAAATGGTTCCCATGGGTTCCTATTGATTCCCATTGGCAGTGACTAACTGGTACCAATTGAAAACTTCAATTGGTACCACCCCTGTGCAGCAGACGAACTTGCGCTCCTCATTGGAAACTAAAATTGAGCATGACACCCACCATACTTATCTGAACACACCCTATACTAGAACAGAAGCCGCTTATTTTTTTAGTTAGAAGAAAAGTGTCTGCTTCTTGTGCAAAAGTTGCGGTGACGTCAAAGTGTCGCCGATCTCTGATTGGCTTTGATCAGAAGGATAGTGTGTAGACCTCATTGCTAGATGCCTCGAGGTATACCCACTATTTGTTTTTCAATCGGCCAATAAGAGCTCGGCGTTCTGACATCATCGCAACCCCTGTGCAAGAAACAGACGAACTTGCGCACTCCGCATTGGGTTTTTCTTTCGCGTACTGATTTGATCGCAACATGACATTTTCGTTCTTTTGGTTTCTTTCGTGTTTTCATTTGCTTGCAGCAGGATAATATGTAACTGACGAACAAAATAAAAAGTAGGGAAAAAAAAAACACTCAACACACATGATTTGTTTAGAAGAGCACCACTTCTTTTTTGTATTCAACCTGTTATAAATCATGTTTGCTTAATAATACTTTAGAGAGCACATAGAGAGCACGAAATTATAGACAAACAGTAAATAAAAGGCATTTTAGGGACTATTTCTGTAAGAAAAGTTTGATTTAAAGCAACATATTTAATTAGAAAAGGCACTTGTTAGTACAATATGCACTAATCTTGCAGGACGAGATTTTTGGGTTCGGAACCAGCTCAACGCGTGGAACATAAAAAGATATATATATATATATATATATATATATATATATATATATATATATATATATATATATATATATATATATATATATATATATATATATATATATATATATATATATATATATATTCGACTTCTGGTAATCGCGCTACAATGAATGCTGTATACTTCTTGGCAAGACACGGGCGTTTGCGGAGAAGCCAACTCAATGGAGCATGAAAAAAAAAAAAAAAACGACTAAAATATTTTGAAAAGATTCGTATTTTAGAGTTTACGCGCTTACAACATTTTTTATTTGTCTCTAATTACTCCCACAACACTTTACTTCTTACGCAATAGCTCACGGCCTTTCACGGCGCTTTAGGGATTTAGGGACTTAGGGGATATATTCGCTCTGACATAGTTGGACGCGGCGCCGCTAGGCGATGCCGCGGTTCCCTCATGTCGACCCTTGGAGGCCTTGAGGGAAGGTAGCCCTGCAGGGTGAAAGATGTTGGCCAGGTGATGAACAGGATTTCGAAAACGTGCCCCGTGATTAGCGAAGGATGTGAGCACACCGGCCGAGGAGAGCGCGAAAGGTTTGTATTGCACGCATTGTCTCGACCCGTGCATGAGCCCAAGCGCGGCGCAGGGATTGTCGTACACCCGAACGCATGCCTCGAAACACCCTGCAGCTCAAAATCTCTCGGAAGCAAAAAATCTCCCCAAACGAAAACATTCTGCAACGGAGCAGACGTTACTTCTGCCACTACGCGAACCGCCCGAACCCGCAATTGTACGCAAAAGCATGTTAGTTTGGATTAGGTTACTTTTCGGAGCGTTCGTTACGAGCGCTTATTCATTGATGCAAGCCTTTTTTTTTCCTTTTTTTTTTTTTTTTTGTCACTCGCGATCTTCCGTCTGTCTTGCGATGCAAACGCATATGCGGCACTGTAATCCTGA